GAGGCATGACACTCAACTAAACATTTGAAGAATTCTTTTTTTTTTGGCTTCTCTCTATTCTTGTTTTAAAATCTACTTTAAAGTAAGATTTTTAGTGTATGTGGATGGGTGTTTTGTCTGCATGTATGTCTGTACCACATGCCTGTGTGGTGCCCAAAGAGGCTGGGAAGTGTCAGATCCCTGAACTGGAGTGACCGACAGCTGTGAGCTGCTACGTGGGTGCTGGGAATTGATCCTGGGTCCTCTGCAAGTGCGGTCTGTGCTCAGAACCAACGAGCCATCTCTCCGGTTGGTTTATTTTAGACTGATTTTGAACCTGGGGTAATCTTGCCTCACTGCTACAGGCCTGTACCACCACGTCAACTCCACCATTCTTCTTGCTCCTGGCCCACTCTTTGCAGCTGCTCAACCGCCCCTTGTTCCACTGTCCCAGCTGCTGCTCAGGAGGCAGCGACTCTCATTCTTGTGCTGCTGCTGTTTCTACCACTGTCCGTGGCTATCGCCTGTCTGGCAGCTATCAGTGCAACCAGCCACTCTGCAGCTTTTGCACCCCGGCCGGGAAGCTCAGCTCTGCCTCTTTAGCTGCCGGTGCAGCACGCCACTCCATTCTGCAGCTATCCTAAAAAGCAGGCAAGGCCACTCAGGAGAACACCTGGATCCACTGTGCAACACGGAGAAAAGCAGCATGGGTGGGCCTTCCGGGCAGCTCACCAAGGGAGCCAAGAGGCTGCTTCAGTGCTTAGACAGCTAGAGATGTCTGCACCCATCACAGGAAACTGTTTACGCACATGAAGGCTTGTATTTGTACCAATCACAGCGGTCTCTGCTGCTACCTACGGGGAGGAGATGGAGGATTACCTAGAGTTCACTGAAGCTTATTAGAGCAAAAAGCCACAGCTATTTAAAACAGTCCTGGAGTGGTATAGCTTCAGGAGCCAAAGTAGCTGTAGTTGTGTGGATTCTTCAAGGTGTGTGTGGTATGTTCAAAATAACAGTGTTGGCATGAGGAAGGTCCTGCCGACTCAAGGAAGCTCGGGTGGCCGGAAAGCCTGACAGCTGTCCAAACCCCAACCTCCCTCCCGCTCTGGTTTTTCGAGACAGGGTTTCTCTGTGTAGCCCTAGCTGTCCTGGAACTTACTCTGCAGACCAGGCTGGCCTCAAATCACATATACCTGCCTGCCTCCTGCCTCTGCCTCCTGAGTGCTGGGACTAAAGGTGTGTGCCACTTCCGCCCAGCTTAAGGAACATCTCTTATTAACGGACAAATGAGCACTAGGAATGCTTAAAATTAGATTTTAAAGGATTTTAAATTAATAATAATGCTAATGATGATTTTAACCATGCTTTAATAATTTTTAAAATAATTTATGTGCATTGGTGTAAAGGTGTCAAATCCCTTGGAATTGGCGTTACAGACAGTTGTGAGCTGCCATGTGGCTCCTGGAAATTCAGCCGTCTCTTTAAGGATTTTTTAATAAGCAGCTGGGCATGGTGGTGCACACCTTTAATCCCAGGGATCAGTGAGGCAGAGGCAGGTGGATCTGTGAGTTCAAGGCCAGCCTGTCTACAAGAGTCCAGAACAGCCAAGTCTACACAGAGAAACCCTGTCTCAAAAAGCAAAGAATTATTAATGAAGGCCCAATGTTTCGGGGTGTGCTGTCTCTTCCTGGGAGTCTGTTTCTACTCAGCCCTGACAGAAGTGACAGCCCAGAAGAAATTATTCAAGTCCAACTTGATGAACCGGTTTTACTAAGGTGACTCTAGAGGAGCATGGGTGACTCGGGCAGCAGCCTCACGTCTAACCCCACCCAGGATGGTGAAGATTTCTTTTTCTTTGGGTTTGAGACAGTTTCTACGTGCAGCCTTGGTTACCCTGGAACTCAATATGTAGATGAGGCTGGCCTTGAACTGAAGAGATCCGCCTGCCTTTGCCTCCTGCGTGTTGGATTAATGGTGTGCTTAACCATACCCAGCTAGCAAAGACAAAATAAATAATAATAAAAGCTAGCACCCCCTTTACTCTAAGCACTCAGGAGGCAGAGGCAGGCAGATCTGATTTCCAGACCACCCTGGTCTTCAGAGCAAGTTCCAGGACAGCCAGGACTACATGGAGAAACCCTGTAGACAGCTACACTAAGGCTCCCCCTCAGCAGCTGTTCACTGCTTATAACCTCAGAGAGGATCACTGCCCAAAAGGTCATGTCCCAATCTAGAGAAAACAGCTACTAAACACAGGGAGGCTTCCCCTATGGTCTGTTTGATTGGGTACATGTGGGGCCCAAGGATCAAACCACCAGGGAATCTGGCACGGAGCTAGAGCCAGGTGAACACTTATCCTAACCGAGGAAACCTTTCTTGAGATTGGCAGGAGCCTGCATGCCCTGGTGTATATAGCTAGCCCCTGGAATTCCTCTCCATGCTAATAAAGCATTGCCGGCATCCCAGCCCCAACCAATGATATGTGCCCACCCTAGAATCCCTTCCTACTCCCCCAAGGTTCCTATACCTCCTGTCCACTCCAAATAGACTGGCACAAGCTGTTTCACAAAGAGGGCTTTTCCTCTCCAGGCATTCACTGCTGGACCCTTGGATTTGCCCAGCTGCCTAGGCAGATCCAAGGTGCCTGGACACTCCGAAGGGAAGAAGCAGAACCCGGGCTAATGTCGCCCGTAACAGCTGTAGCCCTGAGAACCTTGGAGAAGGGCTTCTCCCTTCAGCATCACCCTCTGGACAGGAGCCTACTGACCCAGCCAATCCGGGATCCATTTCATCCTCCCAACAGTGCCTGGACGACACCTCCCCCGGGGAAAGAAGCAGAACTAGGAACCACAGCCATATAGTGGGATCTGTAGCCGAAGGTCGGGCCACTTTTTCATCACTGTGCTCAGGAAGGTCAGGAGAGGGCATGAGATCTCAGAACTAGAGCTAAGGATGGCTGCAAGCCACCCTGTGGGTACTGGGAACCAGAACCAGGTCCTCTGCAAGAACAAACGTCTGTAACCTCTGAGCTCACTCCAACCCCCCTTACTTTTTAACAGAGGGTTTCACTCAGGCCGTTCAGTCTGGTCTCACAGCTGGGATTAGATGCCTGTGCTACCTGGCGTGGCTCTGAGAGAGCTTTAACAAATTCCTAAGTTAGACCCCAACATCCTACCACAGCTTCTTGCAGTGACAGCTTGAAGTCCTACAAGATGTTATTTGCTGATAAGTCAGAGACAGTACTTAAGTTTTGCTTACTTACAGCACACCACTTTTCTAACACAAATTCTGGTCCCAAGAGAAACACACACTTGCAATTGTCTAAATTGCCTTTCAGTGACACAAATAGAGATGGGATGCCTGTATCCTTTAATTTCGTAATTACCAAAAATCTGGGTTCAATCCTTAGTTCTACAAAACAAGGAACTTCCATTACAGGCACTTTTCCTTTCCTTTACAGGTATCAAAGCGACAGGAATGTTGGTGTGGGCTGGGTTGGAAAATGATTTCACTAAAACATGCTGCCAAGATCCAGATCCGGGACAAGCAGCTGAGGCGCCTTTTTAACCAAAGCAGACCTGGCCTCCAGGTTCTCCCAGCATCCCCGAGTCTCTAGCTGTTACAGGGCATGGCTGGCACATCCCACCCTGTGTGCTGAACAATCCAGCCCAGGGGCAGGGCCTCCTCTCCCCGAGAGGCGATTCACTGGATAACCCAGATGTTCTTGGTTCCCCTCTTCCTCTGCCACCCCTCTGTGCTGAGGTTGGAGAACCCGCCTGGGAGCTGCCCCTGGTAAACCCATACTTATATACTATAATTCGGCTTGAATTGGCTCATCTTGTTGGCAGAGAGTTCCTGTCACATGCCGCTAATACAAGGCTTCCTTTTAATCCAAATGTATGAAAAGATCAATTGGAGAAAAGCAAAATCAAGTGTTTACTCAGTAGACTTCTGCAATCCAGATATTGCAAACATGAGGACAAACACAAGAAATGGAGAATCATGGTTTCCTTAAAACACTGAGTACGTCCTGACTTTATTTTTCCCAGTTTATTTTTTTTGAGAAGTTCTTGCTGTGCACCGAGCTAGTCTTACACCGATCCTTCCTCTGCCTCTCAAATACTGGGATTACGGTATGTACCACCAGGACTGGTGCACACACATATTTAGGTGTTCTTGCTATGTAATACTTCAAAGTATACAGCATTTTTCTGAAAATTAAAAATACACTCAAACCTTCCAGTTTAACTTACCTGCACTGTTTTCATGCACTTATCTGTACATGAGGACAACAATGTAGACCATCTCCGGGCATAAACAGACTTATTATTTCTCTAGTAAAGTAGACAAAAAGCCACATCAACGCCAAGCAAAATTCCGAATCTAGGGTCGACCCCATAAAAGATTAAAGCCAAAGCACTTTATCCGCTGCAACATTATTTATTTGAGACAAGACCTATGTATCCCAGGCCAGTTTCCCGATTCGCCCTGTCCTCCAAGTGTTGGACTTACAGGCCCTCACATCCACCACCTTGGAATTATTCTACAGCTTATTAGACCTCTCGGAGCTTACAAAGGGATTTCTATTTTCTTTCTTTCCTGAAGTGTCAAATCATGTACCCTTGGCTACCCTAGGACTCGTTATGTAGACTAGACTAGCCTCAATCTCATAGAGATCCACTTTTATTTGCCTCCCAAGTGTTGGGACTAAAGGCGTGCATTGCCAATTCAGCTACAATGAAGGAAGCTGAAGTGGGACCCTCCTAGACAGATGTTCATGTCTAGGCAGCAGCTCACTACCCTGGATGCATTATTACTGCAGATAATGCAACGGAATGCCAGGAACATGATGCAAAGTAAATGAACACCACAGGAGACAAGACCACCACATCTACTCTGTGGCTCATGTGGCCTATATGCTGGCCACTCTCTGAAGAAAGATGAGAGGCACATTTCCAAGACCAGTGGTACACGTGACTATTGTTAAAGTGTAAATGAGATGCCACACTTTTTTTTTTGAAACTAAATACATTTTAATAGAAAACAAAATACAAAATAACTCTTTTCAGAAAACAGAAATATTTAATCCTTTTCCACACATTAGAACTTGCTTTGTCCTTAGAGCATGGTTTGATACTTGTGAGTATGCACTCATGATTCATTCCTGTGCTCACTGCACTGATGCAGTGAGGGGAGGAAGCAGATCATTGAGGGAGACGAAGACACTAAAGCCCCATCTCAGCATTAACAGTCATCTGGAGAGCCAGCATTTCTTAAGTCTATCTTACGACTCATTCAAAACTACTCTTTATCATAATTTTGCTGAGGGTGTAGGGACAGAGCCTTGGGCACCTGCTGAAAGCACCCTCTGCCCACCCATCATGTTTCTTTCCAGGGTAGAAAAGAACTGACACTAGCGCAGCCGCTGAAAGACCTTTCTTGCACTACCACTGCAAGAGCCGATGCTCAGCCACGCTCCCTGCCGCCTGCAGAAGCACATTACCCGGTGTCCAATCTCCTGATACATTCCCTGAACCTCAAAATTCCAAGTAGCACAGCCAGTGCTAGAAGTCAGCCCTGCAGGTGAAGGCAGAGTTGCCTGCTGCCAGTGCAGGGCTTCCCCTTCTCAATAATAGTAATTATTAATTATAATAATAAAAAATCCTGGTTCTATCTTCATGGAAAAGGAAAGACTGCTAGATCCCTTCCTTTCCTAGTTCCTGTTCCCACCTCCTTCAAGGGGTCGCCACAGGAGACACTGCCTACAGCTGCTACAGGGAGAGTTCTGCAACTGTTCGGTACCCACTGGGAAGAGACAGATGCAAAAGCAAGGTGCTGGCATGAAGCCAGGAGGCCTCGAGCCTGACGGCATCCCAGGGCTCAACTGGAACCTTGTGCACCAGAGAGCGTGGGGCAGGGAGGGCTTCTCTGTAAGCACTGATTCCGCTTTAGCAAGTCCTGGACTGTGAGCAGTCTTCTAGCCCCACCAGCCTGCCACCTGGATAAAAACCTAATGTTCTTGATTCTCTTGCGTGACCCCAGTCACCAGGAGGAGGTTGCAGGCCATGAACTGCACGCTCAGAACGCTGCTCACCTGCCCAGTGTACACGCCTACGAGCTCCCCTGAAGAGCCGTCAGCAGGCGTGCTGCAGCAAGTGCCCCTGATGTCCCAGACACGGACAGAGTTGTCCATAGAGGCCGAGGCAACCAGACCACTGTCTGGGCTAAAGGCCAGACTGGTGATACTGTCCGTGTGGCCTCTCAGTTCTTTAAAAAGCGTCCCGGAGGCCAAGTCCCACAACTTTAATCGCTGGTCCTCACCAGCGGACGCCAAGTATTTACCATTGGGAGAGAAGGACAGGGAGAGTACGGGCCCCCGGTGGCCTGTGAAGAGCCGCACTGAGTTCCCCTGCTGGGCACTCCACAGCCGGACAGTTTTGTCAGTGGAACCCGTGGCCAAATAGTTTGAGTTGGGGTGGAATTTAACACAGTCCACATCTGCCAGGTGCCCCGCATATATCCTCAGGGGATACGTCCGATCGAAAGACCACAGCCTGGCCGTCCGGTCATGAGACCCACTGGCAAAGTACAGGCTGTAGGGGCTGATGTCCACGTCCCACACGGGGTAGGCGTGTCCCTGATACAGCACAGTGTTGGTGAAGCTCCCCAGGTCCCAGTACCTGATGGACATGTCTTCAGAGCAAGAGAGCAGCCCTGAGCTGTCTGCGAGGAAGCGGGCGCTGTACACGGGGCCACAGTGTCCCCTCAGGATCTTCATCTCTGTGCCTGCACTGTCCTCCTCATTCTCCTGGAACAGGTGGGTGGGGTGGCAAAACACAAGAAGAAAATATTCAGTGGTCTCACAAGGACAGTAAGGTTAAGAAAAGCAGAGAGCAGGGCCCTGCCTGGGCAGCAGTCTGTCAGAGGGCATTTTCCTCGTGGCCACCCCAGCCAACAAAGCCCAAGCCTAGGCCACATCTGATGAACATCAACACTTCTGTGGGCCTTGATCTTTGAGTGAGGACGTGACTGGGAGGCAAGAGGACGTCACCGCTAACCCTGACGGTGTCTTCTGAAAAGACTGACTTCTAAACTGATGCTGTCCCTAGATTGTCCACGGCACTGTCCTCACCTGTCTGTCAGCTCTCACTACTCTACACCGAGTAAGAACTTGCTGCTACTACCCCATATAATGGAACCGAGAGACAGGCCTGGTAGTGCATACCTGTGATCACGCACCTAGAAAGCCACAGCAGGAAGAGCCTGGGCTCCAAGGCTAGCTGAAACACAAGTGACAGCCTGTTGAGAAGAATCTGAAGGACTTAGCCAAAGTAAAACTCGTGTAGGAACTTTAAGACCGAATATACAGCTACAGCAGACCATGAGTGCCGACAGATCTTAGGGGGAGCATCAAGATTTTGATGTTACAGAGACTTTGGGGATAAAAGAAAGGAAAGGACCAGAGACTGAGAATGACAGCCAGGTGTGGGGGTGTACACCTTCTCTCTCTGTGGAAGAATCTATTGCACTTACTTTTGATGAGCTACGCGGCCTTCTGAGACTGGCTCTCAGGGAGGGGAAGTTTCAAGATTCATGGCTGCATACCATATCATGGCTGGGACAGACCACAATGTTGTTTGCTCACCTAACGAAACCCAGTTAGGACACTTCTACCTTGGGGATGTGATTAATATTCCATTCCCATTCCTGTCCAGGTTCTTCTGTGGATCCACACACATAATTCCCAAGGATATTCAGTGAATAGAACTGTTGAGTCTGAGCACTATTGTCAACATACAGTTCCTCCAGAGTTAAAGCAGAGATCGCTTTTATTTGGTCTTATGGTTCCTCATTTCTTACCACCTAAGCCCTGCAGTACCTTGGCCATATCACTTACTTTTCCCAGCATCATGCCCATAGGCACGTGAGCTTCTAATCCTTCATGATTCTGAATTTCATGGTAAATTCTCTAAGAAAAAATATGTCCACAATTTCAACGGAAAGAGATTAAAACTTCTATCTTGCTTCCCCCTTAAAACGCTCCTTGTCAAAAACCAAAGAAGAAACCATGCCCAGCTGGTAGACAAAAGGATGGAGCACACATATCCCAAGTGGTGTCACCCTAACTCCAGTACTACAGTTCACGCTCAACAGAACAGGCGAAGTCAGCAGCCCTTTACCGCGGGTATGATCTGCGCAGAGACAGTTAAGCAAACCAGCCATTCTTGTGCTGGTGGACTGCCCTCCTGCCACCATGACCACTGAGGCCCACGACATGGGCATCCAGTGGTCGCTTTTCCTCCTTTAGCTCCGCACTCCCCAATCACTGGGTGATTTCTTCTTCTGCTCTGAGCACATATCTGGCGCCGACATCAGCAACAGCCTGTCCTCTGTGCCTCACCACTCCACAGCTCCCGTCACTCTTTATTCCCTTCAGCCCTGGAAGATCCCAGACCCAGGTCTTCAAATAAACTTTCCCATGCCCAAGACCCACAATGCCCTCCTCAAATATTACAAATCTGAATAACCTCCAAAGTTCATAGCAAAATCAGTAAGGTCAGTGGAATTTTTGTACTTCCAGAAAACTGACTAAGTGAGGGCAGTAACCACTCAGCTGAAGGTAGAAGCTACAAGAGAAGTCTGAAAAGTCAACCCAAGTACAACACGCAGTTAGTTACCTGGAGAGCCCTAGAAATTAGACTCTACTGACAACAACAATCCTCACTGCACTGTCTCAGTGACAAGAACCAAAAGTTCAAGGGAAGCATGACTCAGAATGAGGACACCCACAGCATTCTTACTGGCTGTGGCAAATTACCCAGACTGACTTATTTTTCAGTGTTTCAAGCAGGTACAGAACAATTATCTGTCCAAAGTGTTTCAAGACAAAAAAACCACCTGCATGCCATCACTAACAAGACAAACGTCTGGACCCCAGCATTTGTGGGTGATCAAGAGACACTGACCTGAAGGCTGTCTCCCTCAGCCCAAGTTCTTTGACAGCGGCTCCTCTCACTGCTACCCCAGAGCAGCCGCTCACCTGGCAGCAGGTTGCCGCGCTGACCGGGACAGCAGCTTTACATGCCACGGCACTGTCCACACTGGACCACTGTTGGCACACAGAGTCAGGACAGCTGCCTCCCCAGTGTGCGCTAAGCTGGCAAGGCGGTGAAACAACCTAGATTTCTGCAGGGGACCCTGTTTAAATGCAGACCCTGAACTAGCAATTCTGTTTCTCACTCTCTGAACCTGCACAACACGCATTTCAGTGCACATGACAGACAGGTACCGTGAGCCCTAAGTTAACATCAGCTGAAGATCTGTTAATCAGGCTGAGCCGTGTCACCTGCTTTTCAGACAGTGCTAAACACTGCCCGCTCATAAATAATGCTGAGTGTTGGGAGAAGGGCTTTAATGTGCTTTATCAGTCATGGATGGGACACAATGCTCTATCATCTGGCATGAGTCCAGCTTTGGCTGCCCAGGAGGAAACTACAGACTACTGCTTCCTCGAGACAGGTCAGACTTAGGAAGAGCACTCTAACAGGAAGGAGGTACTAGAGTAAGCGGCACCCCTACCTCCTCTTCCAGAGTGTCACAGGCTAGACGGATTCGGGATGTGTCCACATGGTGGGGCTCTGATTTCAGCTTTTTGGACCGCAAGCTCCAGAGCTTTATGCAGGAGTTGTCAAAGCCAGCAGCCAGCAGCTTGCTGTCAGAGGAGATCTCGGCGGTGTTCAGCAGCTGCTCCGTGTTGTGGAAGGCATAGAAGCAGATGGTGGTGAGGGAGGGGGGCCCATCCTTGACCCGCCTGATGCTCTCCTGTAGGACTTCCAGGGCGGCCTCATTCTGCAGAAGAGGGCTGGGCACCTCTGGCGGCTCCAGGCTGCTGTTCTCAGGGCGGGAGGAGCCACCGCTGGCGTAGAGCTGGTAGTCCGTCCTCTTGGCAGGCTGCACGTCCAAGTGAATGTGCACGGCGAGCACCCTGCACAGGGCAGTGTTGTTGTCGCTCTGGAGGTAGCGGATCAGGTAGTTGTAGCTCTCTTCCTGGAGACGGACCACATACTTGTTGTCCAGGAAGGAGCGGAGCTGGAAGTTGGACAGGATGTCCTGGATGGTCTGCGTGGTCTGCAGCTGCTCAATGATGTCCTTCTGACTTGCATTCTGCAGGAACATCCCATGGAAGCGGCTGTAGAAGCTTTCCACTGTGCTCTTGGGGCCGCTCTGGACCAGGCTGAGGTGGAGGTACACAAAGAGGGGGTACAGGAGAGGCAGAACCTCACGGCTGTACTGGGAGTCAGAGTCTGCAATGACAAACAGGAGAACTCACACTCAGTAACACCGGAGACACAGCGGCTCCTCTGAGAGCCAATTACCCAACACTTCCTGCCCACACAGAACCTAGAGCCTCAGAGCCGACTAAGCAGGGAAGAGCAGTCGGGAGGTACAGTCACGGTGGGGGAGCTGGCCATGCTGTATGAAGGCTCGGCAGCTGTGGTTAGGATACCACCCAGCAACTTCCTCATTATCACCTATGCTTCAGAGAACCTTAGATAGATAGGCTCTAGGCAGACTTGAGTTCTTCATAAAGACTTTCGTCTTGATAAGCTTCACACCAACACAGGTATGCTCACAATCTCCTGGGTAGCAAGCTAGGGGTGGTGGTGCATGCCTGGAATTCCAACACGCAGGGGGCGGGCAGATCTCTGTGTTTGAGGCCAACCTGATCTACAGCGTGAGCTCCAGGCTGGCCAGGGACACACAGTTAAAACCCATCTCAAAAATCTTCTGGATGGCACTTAGCCTTGGATATGTGAGTACTGAGGCCAAAGTAAAATCAAAGCTCATTGGCTATCTGGGCTGGTCTGTCCTATTTGATGACAATATCCATTCAAAGCGTTTACTTCTCTGGTGAAAAATAGGAAACTTCCCTTCCCTTTCGCAGTAAAAATTACAAATACGTTTTTTGTTGTTGTTTGTCATTGAGACCACTCACTCACTAGTCTGGAACTTTAATGTTATGAAAGAAACTTTGAGGGCTAGTAGAGATGGCTCAGAGGTTAAGAGCACTGGCTGTTCTTCCAAAGGTCCTGAGTTCAATTCCCAGCAACCACACGATTACTCACAACCACCTAGAACGAGATCTGGCGCCCTCTTCTGATAGGTAGGCACACATGCAGGCAGAACATTGTCTACGTATCTACATAAATAAGTCTGCACTGCCATGCCCAGCTAGGCACAAGTTAAAGAAAGACCGAATGATCGAAAGATAGAGAGAGACAGAGAGAGAAGCTTTGATAAAGAATGCTGAGTATGTATGCAGGCTGAGGACAGCGTGTGTGTGAGCAGGGCTCTGCAGATCCAGTGTAGGGGCAGAGGGCAGGCAACTCACAGCACAAATACTGTACAAGTGAAGCAGGCCCATGCTGCTCAGAGCCACAGCAGCCTAGACACTTGAGGGCACAGCAGAGTTTGGCAAAATCCACCTGCTCCGGCCCTTTACTGTGAAGTTTACTACTGTTTGTAATGCTTTATTGTAATGAGTTTGGATTTTGTACAGAGCTATCCCACTCAGGAGGGACCTAGGTAAATGTTACCTAGGTAAGATGTTATCATCAAGATGTGCAGCAGTATGCATTCCAACAACCCTAATCAATGTGAGGAGGCCTTGTCAAGAAAGCACCCCCGCTGTGATCAAATCATTCAAATATTATTCTATACCTTCCATCCTAGAGTCATTTATCATGGAGCAGACCACATTCTAGGTGCCCTCCAGGTACAATTACACGCGTGTGGCTAAACTGTGTCTATTCCTCAATGGATGGGATACTTCACAAAGGTAACAGTTATCACACTACCATCACCTAACCTGACAGGCCGCAGGGCAGTGCTTAGCCTACTACGTACATGCTGACTGGATGAAAAGCAGGCTGGAAGACATTCCCCATTATAAAGCAAGAGAACTCCACTGTAGAGCAAGATAAAACCATTTCTATGATGGAGTTTATCTTTTCAGTTTAAACATAATGGATGCCTTTTACTAAATCTTTACTTTCTATAATAGCTTGACCCTCCCCCAACACTAGATCATGCAAACACAGGCTCTTTGTTACTGGGTCAAGGAACAAGAGTGTGATCTACACACGGATGGAGACTTGACTTCAGTCAGTTTCCTCATATGCATCTTTATTTAACATAAAAGCTCACTTAAGGGGAAAATTATTTAAAGTACTTATTTGCATTTGTGTGTACATGCAAGCTACATCTGTGTGGCCACGGAGGCCAGAGGCAGGTGTGGAATCTCTTGGAGCGGGGTTACAGGCAGCTATGAGCTACCCAATGGAGGTGCTGAGAACCAAATTCAGTTCCCATGGAAGAACAGTAAGGACTTTTTACTGCTCACTGAGCCATCTCTCCAGTACTCCAAGTATTTATTTTTTTTTGGGTTAATCACTGTTTTGTTTTGTTTTAGAACATAGCTTTTAAATTTATTTTAGAAACGATTATGTGCATGCGTGTTTTGCCTGCATGTATGTCTGTGCATGTTTTTATTTCTTATCAAGTGCTTACAAAAGGGACTCAACAAGACTCTGATTATTACTCAGCGTCAACCTGGTTCTCTTACTGGAACTCCTCAACTTTAGGTTAATACTGATTATCAGGACCAGGAGACATGTTTGCTTTAGCTGTCCAACCTGCCGCTTCACCTCACATGCAAAGACACAGAGGTTCCCAAATAGGGTAAACAGCTCTTCTTTAGCAACTGTTTTTAAAAACTCACATTTATGAGTAAGGAGAGAATGGAACACATCTCCATTGATTTTGTGTCTCTGGTTATGCTACTACCTATGGCCTGCCTAAATGACAACAGCTTAACTTCTTCACCCCTTACAAGCACTACTCTGAGAGACAATGTACATTTCAAAGTCATGTCACTTCAAGTACTCTTTTCTCCACGGCTGATCTAACTTTCATTTATTCAGCAGAAGTCATAAATCACTGTGCCAAAAGCTATAGGAAAAGGGAGAATAAGACACGCAGAGTATTCGCTCTAGCCTTGTAACCTTTAACCTCAATGTCTAACTCTCACAGAAATTACATTTGCACAAGAACTATTTTAGAAGTGTGGTGGCACAGGTTTTCTCATTTTTCTTTCTCCCAGAGCTAGGGTTTCTCTGTGTAGTGCTGGCTGTCCTGGACTCACTTTGAAAACCAGGCTGGCCTCGAACTTACAGAGATCTGCCTGCCTCTGCCTTCCCAAGTGCTGGGATTTCAAGTGTGTGCCACCATGCCAGGCTTGCTTTCTTTCTTTCTTTCTTTCTTTCTTTCTTTCTTTCTTTCTTTCTTTCTCTCTCTCTCTCTCTCTCTCTCTCTCTCTCTCTCTTTCTTTCTTTCTTTTTTTTTTTTTTCCAAGATAGGGTTCTCTGTGCAGTCCTGGCTACTCTGGAACTCGCTCTGTTCAGGCTGGCCTGGAGCGCACAAAGCTATGATTGCCTGTGTCTGCCAAATGCTGGGATTAACGCCACCACTGCCCGGCTATGGCACAGGTTTTTAATCACAGCACTCAGGAGGCACAGGAAGGTGGATCTCTGAGTCTAAGGCCAGCTTGGTCTACAGAGTTTAGGGATAGCCAAGACTACACAGAAACTCGTCTTGAAAAAACAAACACATGAAAAAGGTAAATGACTCTTAAAAACCTAACACCACACTTATACAAGAGGTTCTGAGGGACAGCTACTCTTTTTGGTTTCTTAAAGAGGACTTACCAGTGAGAAAGCTCCTCAGTCGTCCAAACTGTACTTCATATTGTTGGGGTTCCGCCTGGCAAGGGGCTGCAGACACCGCATTGGCACAACCAGATTCTGACTGGACTAAAGAGGATACACAGACAGAGGCAGGAATGCAGTTACTATATATCACCCAGAAGGAGAGAGAGGGCAGAGAGGCCAACGGCGTCTCTGAGGCTCTAGGGTCCTGGCAGACCAGGCAGGCTGGTAACACTTGCCTCCCTCCTCTAACACCGCACTACCAGCATGGCGGAACAGACAGCTAGAGAGCACAGGGTGCACAAGTCAAGATAAGATAGGCACAGAGTACTCCTGGGGTTTATCAGGAGATGTCTAGCCTATGCTGACAGGTTACGCCGTGCCTGGGTCTGTCAGGTCTCGCCTTCCAGCTCAGAGAAACATTTTTTTTTTAAAGATTTATTTATTTATTACATATACAGTGTTCTGTTTGCATGTACACCTGCGTGCCAGAAAATGGCATCCAATCTCATGAGAGGTGGCTGTGAGCCACCATATGGTTGCTGGGACTTGAACTCAGGACCTCTGGAAGAGCAGCCGCTGCTCTTAACCTCTGAGCCATCTCTCCAGTCCCCTGAGAAACATTCTTTATTCATTTCTGATCACATAACTCCAATTTCTGAGGTTCCTGATTTCAAAGCTGGATCTTCTGAAACTGTTAAATCTTTTCTCTATACTTCATATTTTTGCTTTACCTATTGGAAGGTTTCTTTAACTTACAATCCCTTACCTGCTCCCCTTTTTTTCAGGATAAGGTTTCTCTGTGTAACCTTGACTGTACTAGAACTTGCTCAGTAGATCACGCTGGCCCTGAACTCAAAAGATCCCTGCCTCTGCTTCCCGAGTGCCAGGATTAAAGATGTGTGGTCCCTTGCTTGGCCTAATTTTCACTCTTTGTTGATTTTCTTTTTTGTTATTGTAAATAAAAAAATAAGTCCGTGTTGGGCTATATAATGTTTATTATTAGCCCTATGGTTATCACAGCAGTTTTATTTATGACAGAGGGGAAGAGAGGAGGAAGGAAGGCATGACAGGTTAGGTGCAGAAAAAAACCACGTGGGCAGGGAGAAAGAACTCCAATAATGGCGTGGAAAGGCCCAGATGAAGAATATAAGCAAGTACCCAGGGATTATGTATGGAAAGTAGACCAGATGAGAATGGTTAAGGCATTGGATAGGGGCTGGGAGATGGACGGTGAGGTTATTGAGACAGTGTAAATGAATATCTGACCGGCCCAAAGTAAATAAGGCGATTATAAAATCTAGCAGGTGTCTGTGTTATTATTTGTGATAGCGGTTAGCTAATACCACCATGATAATCTTGGGGTTAATAATAAACATTATATAGCCCAAAACTCATTTATTTTTTTATTTACAACAATACATTTTTATATATTTTTTGTCAGAGGAGTAAAGTACTAATTTTGGTTCACGTTCCTTTTTTTTTTTTTTTAAATCATCATCCACTTGGTATTAAGAGAAATTCTGAAAACTTTCTTTCCCCCTGAGCAGCACCATTTCCTTATCTATGACTCCCAGAGAAACATTTCCCCTAGGGCCAAAGCCCCTGGATGTGGACAGGGCACAACAGGGTAAGAAGAATGTGGCCCATCACTTAGGGTGAATGGAGTTTCCCAGAGTGTCTTTGAGATCTGGGCTGGTCAGAACCTAGCAACAGCTGCTCACCTGCCTTCCTGGGGAATGAGGCTGGGTGCAGTGTTCTGGGAACTGACAGAAGCAGTAGCTCAGAGTCTAGTCTGTCTCACTGTGTAGTGGGCAAACATGCTCCTTTTGAGTCTTTACTTTCTTTTGCTGATAGGGTCTCATCATGTCACTAGAGACAGGGAGGTAACTGCTCACCAGGGGATCCCAGAAGGGCCAAGTGGGCCTTAAAGAATCACGGAGGTAGACTTCTGAAGCCAAGGCTCTCATCTCAAGGAGCTCTTCAGGTTCAAACATCTCACCACTTTCTCCATAGCAAAGGCAGTCTACCCTTAAAGCAAAACAGGCCACTGACTGACAGCCTGTGAAGAGGGCTGAGGACGTGCTGCTGCTAGGATGGAACAGCGGCAATATGTCTGAGGAGAGCAGAAGTCCAGGAACTTAGAGAGAGAAGGAGCCACTGAGTATGTGAAGGAGAGAGAGCTGGGTCCCGCAAACAGCGAAAACTCCATACCGCACAGCCATTAGAGCCCTTCAGTCACCTCACTTACGGATAAACCCAGACATCCAGTGTAAGACCATCAAGCGAGGCATAGAGGCATATACCTGAGGCTTGCTGATAGTTCAAAGGCCAGACTGGGCCTTTGAGAACCTGTTTCATGAAAACCAGAGGGAAGCAGTACAGAAAATCTGTATCACATAAACCCTGAACTCACAAAATAGCTAGATGAAAACCTTTGCGTGTGTAACAATAGCCTCATATTCCTGGTGGAGTCACACTTCCCTCCTGGTTAAAATTTCCCCACGGCTAGTAGCTTAGTCTGGAGTGGACCTCACTCTGTAGCCCAAACTGGTCTCAAACTCATAGCAACCATCCCATTTTGGCCTCCTAAGTGCTTGGATTAAAAGTATGTCCAGGGTTCCCCCCCCAACCACCAAGACAGGGTTTCTCTGTGTAGCCCTGGCTGTCCTAGACTCACTTTGTAGAACCAGGCTGGCCTCAAATTCACAGCGATCCGCCTGCCTCTGCCTCCCAAGTGCTGAGATTAAAGGCATACACCACCACACCCAGACCAGTGCCCAGTTTTGAAATAGGACTTCAAAACAAAAGAATCTCAGAAGTTCTTATTAATACCAGTATTTTCAACCATCAACCCTATAGTATGCACCCACCTTGTAGACCTGGCTTCCAGGAGCAAAGTTCTATCCTAGCAGAGAATCTACCATTCTGGGTCTTGTAGAGTAAAAAGCTGCATCAGGTACATATAGAGCAATCAGTCTGAACCCTCTAGGGAAGGACATAGAGCCCGGCCCCAGAAGCTCAGAAGTCTAGCGAGCACAGCTCCACAGGACCCCTTGGAGCTGCTCGCTGAGGTCTGGCAGCCTCCCCTTTGCTGAGAACCCAACGAGCAATGGCAGCTCATGTTCCAGGCCAGCCACAGGACCCTGATACCTGTGAGGTTGGCTGCCATCTCCTCAGGGGTCTGGGATAGTCTCAGGCCTTGCTTCAAGGGGCCTTCTGAGTCCACGTACTGGCGGCGTTTGAGGTAGCAGGACACTGCCACCTGGACCTGCTCCGTGCGCACTCGTTTCATGACCTATGGAGAAAGAACACAGGAAGCGGACTGTATGGGATGGCAGAGGCATCAGATAGCTGGAAAGATGGATACCAAAGTGACCAGTGAGGATACAAATCTGGGTTCCCTAATTATGAACCTGGTATTCTCTCCCATTTTATCTATTTTTCTGAAGGCCACAGAGCGGTTTCTTTGACAGAAAACATGGAAATAGCATGGGTACCACACCCCGCAGATTACTAACACTGTTATTCAACCAGCTCTGCCAGCCTTTTCATTACTGCTCTTAGCAGCAAACAAGCAGGCCGATGTGAATCTCGCCATGTCTGCTGCTCTGTGAGAAAGCTGTTCAACAGCAGCACGAGAACAAGTACACTAAAAGCTCAGTAGGAGGCAGAAGACCGAAGGCCCAAGAAGCCCAGGGTAAGCACAAGCTGCCAAGGTGAGAGCCTGCTCATGGGAGGCACTTTTGTGTGGCTCTAGGGAGAGACCAAGAGACCTGCATAAGCCCACAGGTCATTCGGTCTTTGAGACAATGTTGGTTGATTTGTAGTCCAGCCTGGCCTTAAACTCATTGAAATCCACCAGCCTCAGCCTCCAAGTGCCAGGATTAAAGATATGCAACCATACCCAGTTCATAGTTCTTTGTTTTGTTTTTCTTCAAGACAAGGCTTCTCTGTGTAGCCCTGGCTGTCCTCAAACTCAGAGATCTGCTTGCCTCTGCTTCATTCAGGCTAGGATTAAAGGCGTGGGCTACCACACCCGGCTCAGACCATAGTTCTTAACAGTCAAAAAGAGGTGTCACCTGCCAGGTGTGCTGAGACATACACACCTTTGATCCCAGCACTAGGGAGCAAGAAGAGGGAGGTAGTCTACAGAGTGTTTACCAGGATAGCCTGGTCTACACAGAGAAACCTGTCTGGAAAAACAGACAGATGCAATAGTGTCACCTGAAGTTGAGGATTTAAGCAATGGGTTTCCTAAATCAAAGTATTCATAATTGTTCAAACCATGGACACAGATGATCAAAGCAGAAAGCGGTGGCCTGAACATGTGTTACAACGAATCAATAAACTGTTGTAAGAAAGGAGAGTGGTGGGCAGTAACCTGGACAAAACAAATAATTTTCTGAATAATTTAAGCTCAGTTAGGCTTTCAAAAAAGTGAGTGAAAGGCCTTTTTTCTGTTCCTACCAAATTTAGAATGCACAGGAACCCCTATGATTGTCATGGCCTCAGACGTTACTTTGCCAGAAATAAAGAAACTGGAGGACAGAGATGATTAAGGAAAGGAAACGAGTTTGCCAGGTTTCACTCTTGTCCAGCTTGAGGCTCGGTTCCAGCAAAACAAGTCTCTTTGTCTCACGGGCAGATCTCCGCCTCAGGACCCCTTCCCCATACTCCCTTCTCATCACTCATGCTCCCCTCTGCCTGTTGAGTGTGTTTAAAGAGAAACGTGGCCAGACAGATTGCTCGGCCAGTGGAAGCACTTGTCACAAAGCCTGATGATCTGAGATTTAGGTCCAGAACCCAGGTAAAAGTGAAAGCGAACCAACCTCCAAGTTGTTCTCTGACTTCCACAAACACGCTGGCACATACCCTTCTTGTTTAAAACCAAAAACCAAAGAAAAATATAACCCTGTTAGGAGAAAACCCTGTTTTCTTCCATGGTACACTGGGAAGGCGCCATGAGCTTCTGTTAACCCATCATCCTCCTGTAACCAACCCTAATGAAACTCACTGGTCCCTTCAAAAACTACTGAAGATAAGAAAGTAGAAGGGAAACCCAGTTGAGGAGAGAAAGGAGATCTGCGGGAATGGGAGAGAAAGCAATGAGGAAGTGAATAAGATCAAACTCATTATCTGTATGAAAATGTCATACCAAAACCATAATGTTTTATGAACCCAATTTGTATCAGTCAGGATTTCTAGCATAACAGATCTTACAGAATGAATCTCATACAGAAAAAAGGTGATTTACTAGATCAACTTACAGGCTGTAGTTCAGCTAACCCAACAACAACTGCCCATGAATGAAAGGTCTAAAAATCAGGAGCTGTTCAAGCTAGATGCTTCAGTAGGTCTTCAGCATACACCCCAATTCCCAAAGAAGCAGATGGCTAATGCCAGTGAAGGAAAGGACTCACTAGCAAGGCAAAGACAAGCAGGCCAAGAGCAAGAGCCTCCTTCTTCTATGTCCTTATAGGACAGCAGGTGTGGCCCAGATTATAGGTGTGTCTCCCCACCTCAAAGATCCGGAGCAGAGTGGATCTTTCCACTTTGTGGTTTAACTAAAAAATCCCTCACACTTGTGTGCCCAGCCATTTTTGGGTTTTAGTTAATTCCAGATATAGTCAACACGACAACCAAGAATAGCCATTACACCATAATGTTTTATGCTATTATAATAAAAACACTAAACAACTGTCACATTTTCTTCTCCAGGGCCAAAACACAGTGTCCACTCTAGAATGCATACAACACAGATAAGTGTGCCTGTCAAAGTAGCTTTCTTTAAACCAAGGGCCAAACCCTATGCAGCCCAGCTTCTGACCAGACCAGCATGGAGCTACATTTCTGACTACTTAGGGCTGTGTTTAGTTTCAAGTTTTACTCATATGAATCAGCTTTCTACTTTGTTACTTGTATTTAAAAAAAAAAAAAAAAATTAAAATTTCAGTTTTTTTGTTTTCTTTTTTTTTCTTTCTCCAGGCAGGCAATGATGGTGCACACCTTTAATCCCAGTACTCAGGAAGCAGAGGCAGGAAGATCTCTGAATTCCGGGACAGCCAAGGTTACACAGAAAAAAATCCTATCTTGAAAAGCTAAAAAAACAAACAAACAAGCAAAAGATAAACAAAAACAACCTTACGGGGCTAGAGAGATGGCTCTTGGTTAAGATTTGTATTGTCTTGTTCTTCCTAGAGGACCTGAGTTCAATTCTCGGCAACCACATGGTGGCTCACAACCATCTATAATGAGATCTGGCGCCCCCTTCTGGCACGCAGGTGTACACGCAGATAGAGCACTCCTACACATAAAATAATTTTTTTTTTTTTAAATCTTTACAGAAATGTTTTTTTCCCCCCGACTCACGGTTTCTCTGTGTAGCCTTAGCTGCCCTAGAACTCTCTCTGTAGATTAGGCTGGACTCAAAATGTTTTCTTTAATTAAAAACTGTGTATGAATGTTTTGTCTGCATGTGTATGTATGCCCAATTCTTGTGCCACTGGATGCCCTGGAACTGGAGTCACAGATGGCTGAGCTGCCACATAGGTGCTGGGAAGCAAACCCAGTCCTTTGGAAGAGCATTCAGTTCCCTTCACTGCTGAGCCATCTTTCTAGCTCTTATCTTTCTCTATAAATACTTTTCAAGACGTTTCCTCTAATTGTTCTCTTTCTGCAATTCCTTTCAGTGTCTTGTGCATGAAAAGCCAAGCACATTTTTCCTGGTTACCTGGCTTACACACTATTTCTAGAGTATCTGTAAATGTCTTTTTCCTTCTGAACCGATTTGTGAGATATTCTGAAGACCAACCCTCCAATTTTCTTGAAAATCACATAACTGGGAAAACTGGCAGGACTGGAGTCACATGGACAAAAGCAGATACATTTACGGATAAAATATTACTGACCCCATCTATGCATTTCACTCCTGGAATATCACAAGGAGCCCAAGACATTAGCCAGAAAGGAGGGGCAATGAGTATGTCAAGGCTGTAATTTGGTCATGTGACAAAAAAGCATGAATAAAATCCCCAATACCAATTTTTCTTTTCATTTATTTATTATTTTTATTTTCATTTACTACTGATGACCTATTTTAATTAAGTTTTTATTTTTTTATTTTTTTATTGCTAGTACAAGGGCCTTGACACTTTAGCGAGGACTTTCTCTTGTCCAAGTGAGGCCAAACTATCATTTCTCTGTGGCTACTATTCAGTGTAATCATTCACTCTGATCAGTGGTTCTTCATGGCTCACCCGGCCATACATGAACCCTGGCAGAGGGTTTGTGTATGAACAAGTAATCCCAGCCCTGGAGATTCTGATTTAGAGGGGGAAAAGCACACACACATAGCTGTTATGACTCCATGACCCCTTTCCATGTGTGACCTGATCAGGATGGTCAAGATACCCACAGCCTTGCCTACATCATCCTAACCTGCTGCTGCTTTCCAGAGTGCCCAGTTTCAAACCCTGTTAAACTAGTCCAATTCTACACTTCAAAAACTAAGAAACTCCAGGTTTTCCTCTGAGACTTTGGTGACAGGGACTAGGTACTTGTACCTATGTGAATTCACAAGCATTCCCACCAATCCTCCCCCAACCCCCTTTTTTCAAGAGAGGGTTTTTCTGTGTAGCCCTGGCTGTCTTGGACTCAAGAGGTCCACCTGCCTCTGGCCTCTGCCTGAGAGCTGGGATTAAAGGCACGTGTGACCACCACCTGGCTCCAACCAAGCCCTTCTGACAGGAAAACAAAGAACTCGAACGGCCTGTGAGACTCAGACAACACGGGAGAGCAGACCTTGGGATGAGTGTCTTTGAGACAGGACAGTACATATGTGTCTGCAGATATAGACTGCAAGAACTTACTCTAATCATTTGAAGTAGGGACTGTTTGAATGCAACTGCCTTTGCTCTAGGACCCTGAGGATAGGTGAGCCAGCTTCTGGGGCAAGGACTTCAAGGCAGAAACTCAGTAGGAACTGTGTTTATAGCCCACGTGGAACACAAAATACCACACCCATGATTCAATCAGCTTAGCTGGTTCTATTCTGATGCACGTATTTCAAGCAAAATATTGCATCAGAGAAACTGGCTTTCTATGGCAAAATATTTATAAATGGACCTGTGTGTACATGCACACCCTTCCAAGTCTCTTACGGCTCAGATGAGACCCAGCAATTTTGGTCATAATTTTCACCATTTTCCAATGATAATAGAACTAATAAAGGAATTTGGATATAATTACACAATCTTTTGTTAAAATTTCAAGACTTCTCAGTTTTCAATTTGCACAGAACTGATGCCAAATACCCTTCTCCTCCTGCATCTTAATGGATGCTTCTGTTCCACCAACAGTCAACAAAGTTGCAATGTAAAATCTTACATAATCGCTCCAAGTAATCACCAGGAAGGACAAACCGTAGACTCCTCTTACTTCCCTAAGATGAGGCTCTAGAGTAGGCCCTGGTAACCCCAGTCCATCACTGAACACTGCATCTCAGCCTCCCCCACTTACCACCAAATACAACAGGTAGAGAACCAAGTCTACCAAGGAAGCCAAGTAGCAACGTCTCAGCTCGGTGAGATGCCAAACCCCTCCTATATAGACATAATTCATTCTGTTAGAATGGAAGCTTCAAGAAGGATGAGGTCAAGGTAAATCCAGGGAATCTAACACCTACACAATCAAATTAGCTTGATAAGAGTTACTGACCATGGGGCAATTTTAGGGGTATGGAAAGCTGAGTATTCTTTCTAATCGTGAACTTACACTTTAAAAAGTCTGGAACTAAGGGGGTTTAGCTCAGTGACAGAGCAAGGCCCTGAGTTCAGTCCTCAGCTGGGGTTAATTCTGGAATTTTATCCTTTTGTTTGAGACATCAGATAAGAACTTACTAAAGGTACTCAATCTAATCTACCCTCCCTTTGGTTTGTTATGGCAGGGTTTTTGGTTTTTTGGCAGGGTCTCAGGTAGCCCAAGTTGGCTCTACATTCTCTGAGGATGAACTTGACCTAACTCAGGATCTCCTGGCCTCACCTCTCAAGTACTAGAATAACAGTAAATGCCACCACATGGGGCAAGAGCGCTGGAGCCACTGAAGACACTTTTGTGTCCCCCACACCCTCCTCTCCTTATGATTGCTGGCTGGAGTTGGGATTTAAGACGGAACATAAATCTTAGATTGGTAACACTGAATAAAGCTGACTGATGCATTCCTATTCTGCTTACTGGCTTCAGAAAGGACAGGGAACATGAACTGTACTCTGGTTTAAAAGTGTGAGCACTGTCTAGTTTCTGCTTGGACTTATTTTAGGCTTATGACCTTTTGTGATTTCTAGGAACCAAGAAAGCCACAAGTATTTTATATCTACTTCAATACTGCTTTGTTTTTTTTTTAATAATGTGTGTGTGGGGGAAGGAGATCTAAATTGTCTTGGTTCCTTTTCTATTACCATGAAGAGAAACCATGACCAAGTCAAGTTATCAAAGTAAGCACTGGGGGAGGAAGGTTGTTGAAACGCGATTTCTCTGCAGCCCTGGCTGTCCTGTAATTTACTTTGTAGACCAGGCTGGCTTCAAACTCTAAGACATTCACCTGCCTCTGCCTCCCGAGTGCTGGGATTAAAAGCCATCACCACCACCTGGCAAATATAATCAGAAGCTTGTTTCCTGTTTCAGATTGTGGGTCTATGACTACTATGGTGAGGGGCATGGCAGCAAGGAGCCAAGCAAGGCACAGCACTAGAGCAGTAGCCGAGACTGGACCAGACATGGGCTTCTGAAATCTCAAGGCCAACCATCAGTGACATTCCGCCAACAATTTCACCAAGGGACTAAGCATTCAAATGTATAAACCATACTGGGTAGTCCTGGTTTGTGGTAATGCCCATGGGAGGCTGGCCAGCCTGATCTATACAGCAAGTCCCAGGACAGCCAAGGCTATGTAGAGACCTTGTCTCAACAGAAACAAACAACACACACACACACACACACACACACACACACAAAATATGTGTCTATGGGGCCATCATCATTCAAAACACCATAGATATAAAACTTCATTTACACAGAAGGGCATACCAAGCTAAATATCAAATTGTGGTACAATTTTGCCCCTATTTATAAACATCTTAAAACACCAGTATGTATGATCAAGTAAACTGTATGTACTATCAAATTCTATTTTCCAGCTGGGTATCATGGCAATTTTAAATCTGAGCACTAGGGAAGCACAGACAGGAAAACCACTGCAGGTGAGTCCCAGGCCACCCAAGGCTAGATACATGGTGAGACCAGGACTCAACCCCCCCCCCAAAACAAAACAAAACAAAAAAAACCAAGCCAAAATGGACATATTATTGACTTTCCACAGTACTTAACCTTATGTACCAAGTCACCACAGATAACTTTACAATTTTTGGGGGTGGGGGGTGGGCATTAGGGGTTAAGCCTACGGCTTCCCACATTGGAGGCAAGCATTCTACCATCTAGCTGTCCTCAGTCCACATCCACTGTTCTTGCTGGAAGTCCCAGTCCAAGCTATCAATATGCACTCTTCATTCACCACCGACAGTACTGTTTTGCTTTGTTTCTGAGTCAGTTGGTGGCCTAAACTCCGTACATAGCCAGCCTGACCTTGAACTTTCTAACCCCTTGCCACTGCCTCTCTTGCCCTGGGATCACAAGAATGAACCACCATTTCCAGATTATCTTCTGTGTGCTCCGTGTGACCTGTACCTGTGCTGACATACGACACAGCAAGCATCAGTGAACATTTGTTGTTTTGTTCATATAACTGATTTGGTGAGACTGAATCCAAGCCCCAAAAGCACCACTGGGCTTGCTTCAGCCGGGTATGCCCTCCCAAAGATCCATTTGGTGTTGGAGAAGCACCCAGGTGTGCCTGGTGGCGGTGACAGCTGCTAATCACAAAAGACTTACTGGAGGAACCTGCCTTGTAATCTGGTACAACATACACCAAAACGTGGTAAAACCTATAGTTCCTACATCTTATTGAGTGCCCTCTAAACTTTCAAATTTACATTAAAAAGCCCATCTGTACTAAGCTAGAGACAGAAGTGGGGATGGCATTCTCTAACCAACAGCACTCTGCTACAGGCATTCTTTCCAAAAAGCCAACATAATGCACTCAGCTTCAAACTTACTGCTTCCACTGTAGGCTAGAACAAACCATGTCACTTTGAGGTTGCTCGGAACTGCCTGTTTACCACTTAAACCAATTTTTGTTCTCACTTTACTGTGTGTGTGTGGGGGTCCTCACCTTTCATGTAGGCTTTGGCCAATCCTTCTCCAATGGATGGAGGCATCCTCACAAACTCACCTGGCTTGAACAAATCTTGATGCTCAGCCTGGCTATCTCTTCTTCCCGTGGCTTCCTCATCTTTGTCCTTCCACCCTGAGCCTGGAGCACCATCACAGTATATATGGTATTACTGTGTTTCCTGCACCACCGTTGACACCTATGTTTATTTAATGTATTTCACTGCTAAGGAGGACACCACCTTCACTGCTTCCCAGACTATATCTCCTTTACCCTCACAGCTCTGTTAGGCAGTTAGTATTCCTCAGACAGGAAAGCTGAGGCCCATAGTGGTCCAAGTCATGGAGGTCCTAGATGGGACCTCAGGTTGTCCGGATGAGTGTCTTTACAGCACCCCATGCTCTACCGATCCCACACTGGCCTCAGGGGAGCACTGGGCAAGCTCACTGATGATGCTCTGACAATGAGGGCCTGGAAAGCTAGGCACCTGAGACGCCGGTGGCTACATGGAAACATAACTTCAAGTACTGTACGATGAACAGTGCTGCCACCACACAAGACCAAGCTAGAACAAGCCAGAAAAAAGGCAAAGCCGGTTCTTTTGTCCTCAGGTGTCTTCCACAGACTTGCATACGGAGTGCAGAAACAACAAAAACAATCAGGTACTGAGCAGCCAGGGGAGGTCTTCACCTCTCCGCACAGTGACAGAAGTATACAGAAATCTCACAGTTCCAAGACTGTCCCCAAACACGGGAACCTGATTGATTGATTATTGGTGGCAAAATGCCGAAAGCCGACTTTTCGGTTATTCTGGTTTAATATTCGCTTTATAATTCGTAAAACCAGATCCATGTGTTTGTCTGTAAATGTACCTATATATCTAGACCAAGTCTCACTCTGTAGCGTAGCCTGGCCCAGAACTCACTTGGCTGACCAGGGTAGCCACGAATTCGCAGCAATCTTTCTGCCTCAACTTACAGAGTGCTGGGATTACAGAGTGCGCCACCGCTACCAGCTAAGGCTAGCCTGAAACCACCATCCCATTGCACAGGAGGAGAAACCGAGGCAGCTGGCTAGCTACAGGGCGGCAATCCTAGTCTCTGCGGTCAGCGACTCCATCCGTGACATCCAGTCCCTGCGAGTCTAAGCGGCCAAGAAGTGGGTAAGCTGGAGGAGGCGGGCCCCTACTTCACTTTCCGGCGGGGCGGGCCGGGCTGGAACTGCGAGCCCCGGGCGAGCCCCGCGGCCGTCCACCTGCGGGTCCGGGCGGGGTGCGGGGGCCCACTCACCTCTCGACGCCGGAGCCACAGCGCCTGCGAGGGCCGCGGGGCCGCGACCGCCGGCGCCAGCCGCGAGCCGGCCGTCGGCCGCCCACTTCCGCCGAGCGCCCTCGAGAGCTCGCGGTTGGCTCCGCGCGAGGGCGCCCGGCGGGGCCGCGGGGTCTCCAGGCGCGTGCGGCCGGGGCCGCCAT